AGTGCCGGGACCTCCTCCCAGAGTAAGTAGTCAAACTGTTTGACAATTTACCTGGGGTCTGCTGGGAAATGGGAGTGTAGTAGGAGCAGAGTGTGAGTGGTCCAATGTGTGTGGGGTGCAGTGTGTGTGAAAGGTTCAGTGTGTAGTGTGAATGTGTATGGTGTGTGGGGGCAGTGTATGTGTGTGTATGGGGGGGGCAGTGTGTGAATGTGTATGGTGTGTATGGGGAGCAGTGTATGTGTGTATGGGGGGTAGTGTGGGAACTTGTATGTGTGTGTGTGTGTGTGTGTGTGTGTGTGTGTGTGTGTGTGTGTGTGAATGCATGGACATATTAGCCGCGAGGCAAACAAGGCATTTGCCTTGGCACTTTCAGGGGGCGAAAAGCCACCCCAATTGTATAAACAAATGTCTTGTTAGCCTGGCGGCTAACTGACAAATAGAGGCGGCGGCACTGGCGAGGAGCACTGATTAGTGAGCTTTCTGCTCCAGCTCCTAAGTCTGCAGTCATCAGCCGGCCGGCCGCCCGATCAGTCCAGCGAAGAGCCTGAGTTTTGTCATGCCTAGGGCAGCACAAAACAGGATACCTCCTGTGTGAATGTGTATAGTGTGTGAGGCAGTGTGTGTATATGGGTGTTGCAGTGTGTGTAGAGGGACAGTGTGTGAATGTGTGTGGTGAGTGTGGGGGCAGTGTATGTGTGTGGTGGGGCAATGTGTGTATGAGTGTATGGGGGAGCAGTGTGTGAATGTATGCGGTGTGTGGGGGGCAGTGTGTGTGTGAATGTGTATGGTGTGTGGGTGGGCAGTGGGTGTATGGGGGGCAGTGTGTATGTGTGTGTGTGGCAGTGTGTGTGTATGTGGGGGGCAGTGTGTGTATGGGGGCAATGTGTCAATGTATGGTGAGGAGGATAGGGGGGCTTTTTTAATATATAATATATTTGTGTAAGGGGCAAATAGCCGTATATGGAGTAAGGTTCCAGCATAAGCGTAGGATAGTATAAAGGGAGCAAGTCGGTTGTGGTGTGCAGAGACAGACAATACTGCAGGCCTGTAAATAAAGAGGGCAAAAATGAATAATCAAAGATTTAATACAGTCAACAATATATACAAATTAAACAGACATTTCCTTAAATGCTTTACGGTATTTAATTCCTTGAAGGATTTTGAAGGTTGGAATCTAGGACCGCAACTGGACACCATTTGTTGTAGGTAGGATAGTATGTTATCTCTACTGTTGGTGCGTGTTGACTCGTTTTCGGAATGTGGTAGAGCCAATAGGTAATGATATATGTGTTTACATACATGGGATCGTTGAAGACAATGATCTTTTCGAGTGGTGGTGATTGAATTGGATTCTCTGGCCTGAGAAAGTCATAGAAGGCAGTGTTGCTGGCTGGTAATGGCCGACTTGGTAGTGTAATTGAATGGTTGTAGATCTAATAGGTCCGATAAGGATGGAAAAGTTGGATGGCTATTAGTAATCTCTGAGAGTAACGTGGGGGAATGGATTCCTGAAAACCTCTGAGTATATTCTTGTCTGGTATGATAGCATGAAGTTATGGTAGTTTGGGCCATAGGTTATCCTGTGTTGTTGAATGCCTGTAAAATATATAACTAATGGTGTGTGAGATAGTTTCAGTTTAAGATGGCTGCTACAATGGGGTAGATCTCCCAAAGGGGCTGAGGTGGTGGAAAAATTTCCAAACCTAGATGCCATGGCCAACAGCTCCAAAGCAATTGTTCCCATGTAGATCACTGCCAAACCCGTGGTAGACACCACGGCTGACCATCTGGTTGGAGAAGTGTTAGACAATCCTGGAAGGAACATGCTTTTACCATGCCAAGTGGTTAAGAAATCCCCCCCCATGTGCAGGTCTGGTGTGTCTAGGGACATCCTCTGATCGTCATGTTGGATGTGTGGGAAAAAAGGAAGAAAGTACTCTGGATGTGAAAGTGTGGTCTTGTGGTATGATTTGCATGGCAAAATTAAGGAACCTGGTAGGGATTGTAGTTCCTTGTGGTTGTAAGTACTAAGCAGGAGGTAGTGATTGATGAATGTTCCCTATTTGTCTTGTGGTAACTTGCGTGTATGGATGCCAACTCAAGTCGTATGCCCAGTAATGTGATGATAGTGTCTGGGCCTTCTGTTTCTTATGGGGTAAAGGGACGCCCAAGTGGTCAACCAGACTAAGCTGCCGTGAGTCTTATAGTGAAAAATATGTTATCTTTGATCAACAAGAAGTCTTCTAGATAGTGTATGACTGTAAGGCCTCTGGATATGTTATCATAACCAGCACAGAGTATTAGTAGGCTAATCTGTAGCCCAAAAGTTGAGCGGGGAAAGGATTGCCAATTTTATGCCATGTAAGTGCCAGTGTGTAGGGTAGATGGTAGCAGTTTACTGCGTTGATGATATTAGTCTTACTTAACCAAGCTTCAACCCATGCTTGAGTGATAGCTGTAAAGGTAGATCAATGGTGTTGTATAGTAAAGAAACTCCTCGGAGAGTATGAGGGAGTTGAGACTTGGGGTAGCGGAGGTGTGTGGTGCCAATAAGTCTATGGTTAGTCTTTGTTTAAGGGAAGATTCCCTTGTGACAATACCAATGTGTGTGTTTGGCGCCATGCTGTAAATGGTGGAGATTGGAAAACCCAAGTAAAAACCCCTCTGCAAATCTTGGCTATGAGTGTGCTTACAGCCGATGGTTCTGTGTGCTGACTGTAAGTGAGGGCATGCTATATTCCTTGAAGGTGTATTTATGATACCTGTATGGGAGCCCTTTGAAGCTCCAGAGCTTTAGTAAATCTACTACAAGTCTTGAAGGGTGATGAGTCAGTAGTGTTGAATGCATTGGTGTGTACAGATTGTGAGTACGTTTGTTTGTTTTTTTGTAAGTTGCATTGGGACACATGGTTTGTCATGTGCCCTGAATCATTTGAACATATATGCAACAGTCTATATGCAATGCAACTACTCATACCAATTTTCTCTGGTAGTCCAGAGGTGCTGGTACCTGGAGCCTAAGAGTGCTCGTCAGTTTGTTTGGGACAAAATCCCTTCTGTATGGGTACCTGCACAAATAAACATCTCTACATATTCCAAATGCCAACACAACCAAGGGATGGTCAGTTCCTGATTTACCTAGAATCCCTGGATCTGACCATCACAGATACATCGTCATACATATTTATGCCTTGTTTCCCCAATGTGCCGGGATCATATGTGCAGGGTTAACGTCTTGTGTGTCATAAGAATTGATTGTACCAGGTAACCGAGTTTCGGTTGGTGCTGGTTGTACAGAAGCGTGAGGCCCAGCCTTGTGAGGGCTGTGGTGACCGACTCGAGATTGCCAGTCTGTCATAAATGTTTTGGCTCATGAGTTTATGAGTGAGTTGGTGTTGTTGGGCCTTCCCCTGCCTCCATGTTGTCCGTTGATGTATGGAGGAGTTTGAATAACTCTGCTTTCCTTGCTGTGGCAGGGTAGGGATTTGTCGCCTCCTTAGGTTGGTGGTAATGTGTGGTATCGTCCAGGATCTGATTGCTGCTGGACTAGCAACAGCTCCTCTGCTTGAAAGTGTATCACTTCTAGCCGGGGTGCTAGGAAGAGGTGATTCTATTTTAGAAATACTTAAATAACAATAAAGATTGCAATTATTATTTGTACCCAGGGGTCTTGTACTGGCTTGTTAGCTAAGCCGTAAGGCAAAACGATTAGGCTTGGTGTTTTTTGGTGATTGGTGAGGCCCTGCTAGTTGCCAAGTGGCTTGAGAGGCTCTATCTATGCTTGGCGCGAGGGGCTTTTGTGTGGCCACCGAGCGTTGTGGCAGGATGTTGGCCTCTCGGTGACAGTAACCAGAAAATAGGAAGTTGAGTGACAGGTGAGGCCCTCTCTATGATACAATGAGAGGCGGCTAGCTCACGAGTGGCCCGAGGGGTGTATGCCTCAGAGTGTGAGGCAGAGTGTTGGCCTCGCGGGACCACTAACCGAAGCGTAATGCAGAGAAAAAAAAGGGGGGTAATACCTATTGGGCCCTAGAACACTAATTGCCAGTACACTATTACTATTCCAGGGAAGGGAAGAGATGGATAACTATGTGAGCAGGTGTATGTACCTGGTAGTATGGTATTGAACCTGACAATCCGTATAGTTTTTTTTTAGTAGTAATTGTAACCTGAATGGATAAATCCATATGGCATAAGGAAATATGGCATAGACCAAGCTTATCTTAATATGTACAGTATATGTGAAAAGTAAAGTGCCGTGATGTGTAAATATTAAACATCGTAGCCATACTGGTTAAATATGTATCAATCTTAACCCATTAAGTGCCGTATGTACAAGTGAAAAAGTGGTCTGTCCCCACCTTGTATGTTGTAATTCCTCTTGCTAGGGGAAAGTCTGTTGTGTGAGCAGCGTGCTGTGAAAAATGTATGTGAACTATATTACCAGTTACGTAAATACAGATGCGTCTGCTACTGTGTAATAATATGTGTATTTATACCAGATGTTGATATACTACTTGCTATGTGAATTGTTGTATGTCTTATTGAATGGTAGGGGTCAGTGAACATGGTGTTGCAAAATGCCAGTGCACTGGAGGTGGCAGTGTAATTGGATACTGATTGGTATGTGAAATGTTGTTTGTCTATTGACCTATAGGGGTCAGTGTTTTGGTGTTTGTAAAACCCCATGAAAATTGTCAATGTACTTGACAGACCTGTAGGTGGCAGTGTTGGTAGAACCACTGTTGGTCTTGATGTGAAATGTAAATTATTGGGAATTAAACCTGAAGTTGAGCCCGTGATGGAATTTAGTTTATGGTTATGTTTAAAACAATCTTATGTGTAATTTATATTGGCTGGTAAATTGTATATGACATGTGAAGACAGTTTTGCTGTTGACCAGTAGGGGTCAAAAATGCTGATTGTGTGGTAAAGATACCCTTTAATCCAAATACAAGGTTAACATGAGATTTTGAGAGTGACCTGTAGGGGTCAGTGTGGTTTATGTGAAACATTGTTCGTGAGCTATGCCCCAGCATTATAGTTGTATGACAGGGAAACAAACAGTGCCCGTTCGACAATATATAATATGCGAACATAATAGCTTAATAACAATCATTGTAACAAACCAAAGTTCTGTTCGTGGGTTGTAAACGCACAAAGCGTGTGTGTAATACAATAGTAAATGCATGAACTAGTTCCCGTTTGGTAGAAAATTGCACGAACCGTGAGCCTGGTATGTCAGGGAAACAAAACGAGCAGTGAGATTCGAAATGCACGCACAGAATTGCCTAGTATGTTTAGGCAATTGAAACAGAATGTGTTCCCATTTTGGAGTATGCTAATGCTCGAAATGAGCCAGTGACAGATATAAACAAGTGAATTTAAACGAATGATATGCGTGAACATCCAATGGTTTTAGGACAGATTTAGACAAAATGCAGCCGTAAAGTGAGGACCTGACCCGTGCATGGTGCCGTGGGACTGATGCCTGGCGTAACGGGTAGGTCGACTTACGGTTTGTGAGTCACTTGGACGCCATCCACGGTGATGGATTGAAGAAAGAAGGTGGTAGGCCGGAAAAGCCTGTGGCTGGATTCCTGACACAGCTCAGCTTAGAAAACCTCATGGAGTAATCAGGTAAAATGGCGTCTTGATGACCCGGAAGTGAAAATAATTCTGATGCTGACCTCAAGCGATATGAGTCAGGTAAGGGGTGTCCCTTATATAGGGGAGTGAATTAATTTAAGCCCCTCCCACAATTACAGGCCAAACGCCTTAATACATATTTTTTTTTTAAATAAAAATAAATAAATGTATGTCGCCCCTCCCTTCTAACCTTTATCCTTTACTGAGGGAGGAGGGGGGAAAGTTTCTCGATCCCTGGTGGTCCATGGGGAATACGTGGTAGTCACAGTGGTGAGAGTGAACTCTAATCCGTAACGCCAGGGCTAGAGTTCACTCTTGCGAGATCCGGAGCGTTGCCGTGGTAGCCGCGGCAACGCTCCATGCTTGCGAGAGTAGGACCCAGAGGAGCTGCAGGCTGAGCTCCCGGGCACTCTCTTCCTCCCCTGTCTGCTGATATCTCCTCCGGTCCGCAGGCACATTGCAGGGCTGGCGCTTGGACAGTGCCAGTCCTGGATTAGCCGACAGGGGAGAGCCTGGGGGGGCAATTGCCCCATTCCCCCCTCCAGATCTGCCAGTGGTATGTATGCAGTAGACTTGCATTTTCCGAAGTATCACTTAATACATCCGATCAGTGCCACGGGCTTGGGTATATCTACTAAATAGTGAACAGCAAGCAAATGATCACTGTTCTGAAATTCAGCAACTGTGCAGTTGTCCAGCGACTGACTGGTCACTCTGTGCCCCAAACCGGACACTTCTAGTCTAACCCTTGTTTGTTTTTTGTTTGTTTTTTAATACACCAGCCCTCCCCCATTGTAAACTTAATTTATCATGAATCATGCAGTGGTGGCTAATATTTTGCACTACAGCTATTGTGGATCATGTTTCTCATGAGGCTCAGCCAGCCATTCAGCTGTTTAGTTTGCTAAATAGGCCTATTATGACCTGATTTTATCCTCTAATCCTGGCCAGCAGCTGGTCCTGCCCTCAGTTCAGCATGTGTCTTTGGCAGCTGGAATTCATTTCTTCCAAGCCATGACTTTCCAGCCTCAGCAGTGACTTTATTTACACTGAGGGATGTCCATGAACTGACAAGAAATTCTGACAGAATTAACATTTCCAGAGCATTTTGGAGACTGCGTGTCCTTGTTTTCAAACTTTTAACCTCTTTCCTGGCAGATTATTTATAGAGCTCTCTTGGATTTTCTCCTGTTAAAGCGACATACAAGCATTATAACCAGTACAGCATATTTTACAATTTATTGCAGTGGTTATGGTGCAAAGAGGCTATGGGTGCTGTCCCTCTGGGTTTTATTTCAAGGTATGCTCCAGAACTCAAAGCACTTCAACTTGCTTTATGTGTCTGTAGTTAGCCATATTTGTGTCTGTTTATGAAAGTGCCGATCTCATTAGAAATAAGCACTTTTATTATTGGGGCCCAGACAGGGGAGGTTTTCTTCTTCCACTTTTGTTTGCTCTAGAAGGCTTATGGGAGAGGCAGGCCCACTGTGCTAGGGTATGCTTGCCTTTCCCCCTTCAGAATGAGCTGTACTACAGCTCACTGAAAAGCCGCAGGCACTACCGCACTTAGATGCCTCTAATTGGTGTGTTACTAAATGTCTGAGCAGAGGAAAGAGGTAGGGCTACAGACAGCAACTTTTCCTTGAGAGTATATGTACTATTTAAAATAAATAATTACAAATTTCAATAGCTCTCTTTTAACGCTTTTCAATAGAGGATTGCCCACCACCACCCTAAAGTCAGCTTGTCAAGAAATAAATCTGAAATATGTATTGTTTTTAGGGGATCATGCCGACTAAATAAATATGTTGTGTCCAAGCTTTAAAGAAACTCTATAGGGTCAGAAACACAAACATGTATTCATGACCCTATAGTGCTAAACCCACCATTTAGGTGGCTTGCCCCCCCCCCCACCTCCCTTAACCCCCTTAAAATTGAATAAAACTCACCTAATTTCCAGCACCACGCGGGTCCACCGGCGCTAGCTCCACCGGCGCTAGCTCCACCGGCGCTAGCTCCACCCCCTTGGTGACTTCATCAGAATTTCCCATTTTTAGCTAATCCAAAGCTTTCCCATGGGGAAAGCATTGGATTGGCTCAAATCGGCAAGGGGGCAGGGCCAAATGCCACCTTGGCCAATCAGCACCTCCTCATAGAGATGCGTTGAATCAATGCATCTCTGGGAAAAATTCAGCGTCCCCATGCAGAGCGTGGGGACACTGAACGGCAGAGCTGCCTACTGTGCAGCATTGAGCCAGGAAGCACCTTCAGTGGCCAACTGAGAAGTGGCCACTTGGAGGTGTCCCTAGGGGCAGATGGCACTGGCGACACAGTTCGTCACTTACTGCTGATGTGCAATATGTTGCAACTCCTCTACTAGCTATACCCCATCCTTTTTCAATCCCCGCACTCTGTGCACAATTCTAGAATGCAGGGCAACGGACTGTGACACAAGCAACCTGCTGCTGGGTGAGCACTCAGGAGAGCAGGTTCTTTTCAGTCCTATGTTCCGAAACTGCAAAGTATCCCTTTATATGGCCAAAACAAATTGTGAATATTTTGTAGGGGATTTAGTCCATTTTCCCCTTTCAAATGTATTTTATTTTTTTCTCTTATGTCACTCCCTGTGATGTTAAAGGGACACTATAGTCACCAGAACAACTACAGCTTATTGTATTTGTTTTGGTTAGTATAACCATTACCTTCAGGCTTTTTGCTGTAAACACGGTCTTTTCAGAGAAAATGCAGTGTTTTTATCAGAGTCTAGGGGTACCTCCACTGGCCACTCCTCAGATTACTACCAGAGGTGCTTCCTGGGGCAGTACTGCACACTGTGCAGTACTGACATTCAGTGTCTCCACCCTCTGCATGCAGACACTGAACCTTCCTCATAGAGATGTATTAATTCAATGCATCTCCAGGAGGAGATGCTGATTGACCAGGGCTGTGTTTGGCCTGTGCTGGCTCTGCCCCTGATCTGCCTCCTAAACAGTCTCAGCCAATCCTATGAGAAAGCATTGTGATTGACTCATATAATCACTTCTGATGATGTCAGCCAAGCAGGCAGATGAGGGGTAGAGCCAGCAGCAGGCGGCTGGAATACAAGTAAGATGTTACTATATTTAGAGAGGCAAGGGAGTGTGGGGGCAGGGGGGGCTAGATGGTGGTTTTAACACTATAGGGTTAGCAATACATATATGCATAATTAATTACATATGCTTAACGGAGCACTATAGCCAGCCATTTTTTCCAAGAATGGAGGCAACCCTAAAACTTGCCTAGGAGATGTCACGAACCAGACCACTCCAGGCATGTCACATGGCTTACTACAATGGGTCTAAGAATCATGATTTGGCTCCACTAGTCTGCACCCAGTGAAAGTATTCTTCTTTCAAGCTCTGGCCATTCAAAGAGTTGCTGCGGGTTACCACAGCAACACACCTATAACTCACAATACTGGAGCTCACACGTATAGTCTGCTCATTTTGCACACTATACGCTCCCAACACCTCTACATCCCCTAGACACATTGTCACTATAGCCCCTAGACACACACTTACTCTCCCTACACTACAGCCCCTAAATATAGGCGTGCGCAGCCTATTGCATTAGCGTGTGCACCCTAAAGCACAAACACATGCTGCATGTGTATATATGTATTTTATACACACATACACTGCTGTGTGTGTATGTGCTGTGTGAGGGTGCTGTTAGTGTGTTATGTGTGTGTGAGGGTGCTGTTAGTGTGCTATGTGGGTGAGGGTGCTGTTAGTGTGGGTGCTGTTTGTGTGTGAGGGTGTTGGTAGTGTGCTGTGTGTGATGGTGTTTGTGTGTGTGTGTGTGTGTGTGTGTTTGTTAGGGTCCTGTTACTGTGCTGTGTGAGGGTGCTGTGTGTGTGAGGGTGCTGTGTGTGTGAGGGTGCTGTTTGTGTGATGTGTGCTTGTGTGTGATGGTGCCATTTGTGTGATGTGTGTGGGTGTCGTGTATTTCTGAGGGTGCTGTTTGTGTGTGTTTGTTAGGGTGCTGTTAGTGTGCTGTGTATGAGGGTGTTGTGTGTTTGTAAAGGTGCTGTGTGTGTTTGTGAGGGTGCTGTATGTGTACTGTATGTGTGAGGGTGCTGTATGTGTGTGTGCTGTATGTTTTGAGGGATTGTGGAGGTGGGGGCAGATTAGTAAATATCCCACCTCCCTTCTTACCTTATGTAGGGAGGGGGGATCCTTGCTACCATATGCCATCCCTGGTCGTCCAGTGGAGAGTGAACTCTAGCCTGGAGATCTGAGCGTTGCCGTGGCAATCTCGTGAGAGGAACCTGGCGGAGCTGCTGTCTAGAGCTCCCCGGGTCCTCTCCTGCCTCCCTCCATGCTGCTGTGGGCTGGTGAGGTAGATCTTTGATCTCCCCGCCAGCCCATGGAGGCTTAGAGCAGAACCGGCACTCAGATAGCGCAGACTCTGCGTGAACAGAGAGGGGAGATCCGGAGATCTCCACAGAAGTCCTGGGGAATAAAGTGTGGGAACTCTCCCAAGATTCCCACCTCCCCAAAAAATAATATACACGTGTGTGTGTGTGTTTGTGTGTGTGTGTGTGTG